AATCACTTATACATGTATGTATATATATATATATACCACCGCGCTGCGTGTGTGCGTCTCTGCAATATAAGCTACATCGTGAGATGTACAGTGAGTGACAATCTCGCGTCGATACTGCACGCAGTGTGACGGAAATACTTTTAGATACATTTATGCAGCAAACACGCAGAAAGCGCAGCACGGATTCAGGTTTCAGCCTCGTGATTACGTAATGTCTTCTAAAGCTGTAACGGCGAACATTTTAGAAATCGTTAACGTTTTAAATGTGACGTCTTGAATGCTCATAATAGCTCTAGCGTTTATTTTAAATATGCCAATCCATAAATGCAATCCATAAATGCAATCCGAAACGTGAGCGAGGAGCGCAGCGGAGACAAATGTCTGAAAAAAACTGATTTTGTCTGTAATCGTATATAAATATGTATTTTGCAGACCCGGCAACGCGAATGCCAAAGTTTCCCGTCATCATGTACATCCACGGAGAATCGTACGAATGGAATGCTGGAAACCCGTACGACGGAAGTGTCCTGGCGCGCGTTGGTAACGTCATCGTCATCACCATCAACTTCCGCTTAGGAATTCTGGGTAATTATGCTTCAAGCGACGCGTCACATGACCTGTGAACGACTGTTGAGAAAAAAAGTATAATCAAAAACGTAAAATCCTCGGCGGAACGTCGCACGTGTGCCTAGCAGGTGCACGTACGAACGGAAAACACGGAAAGCAGAGGAATTCCCTATAGGCGACGCATGAATCAACGTGCCTTCCGTTTCTCTATGAACTCGTGTGATCACACAACGCGTAATCAGCAGCTAGCGCGTGGAAATAGATCAAATGAAAGCGTGTAGAAACATAACGCCGTAGCAGCGCATCATAGTTTTTAGAGGAGCAATTCCACACAGCTGGCCTTCCGTACGAGCCAAACGAAACTCTCGGTAAAGCCAGTGCGACGTCCCAAATGTGCGTGCGTGCGTGCGTGCGTGTGCGTGCGCGTGCGTGCGTGAACGTGCGTGCGTGTGCGTGCGTGTGCGTGCGCGTGCGTGCGTGAACGTGCGTGCGTGTGCGTGCGTGCGTTCGTGCGTGAGTGCGTGCGTGCGTGCGTGTGCGTGCGTGCGTGCGAACGTGCGTGCGTGCGTGTACTTGCGTGCGTGCGTGCGTGTACTTGCGTGCGTGCGTGCGTGCTTCAATCCGTGAAGCGATCGATGGACTGGCGGCTGATTTCAGCACTACAAAGTTGTCGGCGTGTCAGTAGGCATTTTCGAACGTCTCGATCACGTCACAGCGCATGCGCGTTTTACCCGTTTGTAATTATCATCTTCTAGCTTTCGATTCCTACTATACGCTCTAAAAGATTTTCAAAATAATTAGCAAGTCGCCCGATTTGCACGCGAGCGAGCATCTGTGTTGGTGCCGCCGTGTGATTTGCATGTAATTAGACATTTGACATTAAACACCGAGTGAATGACATTTACACGTCACGTAGCCGTCACGAAATTTCGGTTATTTAGGGAATAGTAATAATTCAATGCAGAATAGTATAATAGAGTAGTAGTAGTAGTAGTAGTAGTAGTAGTAGTAGTAGTAGTAGTAGTAGTAGTAGTAGCAGTAGGGAGTAGTAGTAGTAGTAGTAGTAGTAGTAGTAGTAGTAGTAGTAGTAGTAGTAGTAGTAGTAGTAGTAGTAGTAGTAGTAGTAGTAGTAGTAGTAGTAGTAGTAGTAGTAGAC